GCTTGAAATTTTGCTGCTTCACGTGAGCTGCAGGATGCACTGAAGAGCTCATCAAACCTGACGTCGGCCATGCATGCTGCTTCGAAGGAGGTTGCGCCGAAGAAATGCAAGACTTCACTAATTGGGCCCTCTGCCGTAGTTCTTTTAACTATGTTCAAGCATGGAAGGAAAAGTAGGCGAACTCGCAGAGCGAAGCTTAGTAATGGCGGTGGGCAGCTGTGCAGCACTTCGTTGTAATGCAGCATAGTGAAAGAAAGATATCCCTCATGCAGGTAGCCAGGTAACAGGTAACAAAGAGTGCCAGTCGTGCACATGCAAAATATCGTTTGGCAATGCTATGCACAGATGGAAAGACACATGTACACAAGGGCATTGTTTCAGAATACTTAGACTTATTGTGCGCCGGACATGTTGCATCTTGGATTTCTGCGTTTATAAACCCGTTCATGCTGTTCCTGATACAGCGAAAAGATGATCTCTTTGCAGGAAGAGGTCTTTATGGAACAGTTGGAGTTTGACCGAAATGGGAGCACAGGGTGGGGGTAGCATCATCCGTTTGTAGAGTACGCAGTTCGGAATGGACGTCGTGAAAGAAAAGGTTGTGGAAACATATGACCTTTGCAGTATGTCAGTGTGCAAAGGAAAGGAATACACGGTCGGAAGTTATGCTTCAATGGAAACGTTCCTTTATCCAGCGTGTAGAAGCGAACTTGTATCGAATCTGCTGTGAGATTTCGGCGTTGCACGCGACGATGCGGGCCGCGACCTCCAAGCAGCTGTCGACGTCTGCGGCAATTGAGCGCAGGAGGGACCAGAAGAAAGCTGAGGTAGTCATGACTTCGCATGGCTCGAAAGTTTGGTAATGTTTGGTTCTGCTTCAAAGTATTGCTCAAAGGTGCCCATGTCTCCGTCTCCTGAGTCCTCAATGACCTTGTCAGGGCCGCTGCCTACGCCCTGGACATGAACAGGGTCTTGCGGACCGAGACGCACACTCTGGGAGTCTATCTCCGGGCTTCCTCGAACAGTCGGCTGCTGGCTGAAAGAGTTTTGCTTGCGGGGTTTTATTGGCTTTAGCCAGCGCACATTCGAGTTGCATGAGCCCTGTCTCCCAGGCTTTGGCAACGGCGACTATCAGAATTTGGCGTATCTGGCTTGCAGGACATCCACTGTAGGGAGCTGGAGCACTATCGGCAACACTAAACTTACGAAGAACAGAAAGCTGTGATTCCCGCTGCATGTCCTCAATTTTGGCGGTCATAGCTTCACGGGGAAGGGGCTTGCGGATGTGAGTTTCAAAAATTCGCTGTCCTGGAGCATGGGGAATGCATAAAGTTCACATTCAGATTGCTTTTTGCGAACTTTGCGCAAGCGCTTCAGGCGCGCTTACGCCCCAAACGCTAAACCAAATCCGGCCAGCTGTGTGCACGTGCAAGAGTCGCAAACCGAAACTAACGTGTTTGGCTTCGATATCAAAGACCATCCTAGTTTACGAGAGCTCCTGTAGACGACGTGCTAGGAAGATGTCCGTCGCCTCTCTTTAAGTTCTGCTCTCCGTGCACTCGACACGCTCTGGTGGACGCTGCGAAGCAGCATTGACCGGCACCTCGGTCTTAGAACCTACAACGATTTTGACATGTTATTTTCTGTTGAAGAGCCTGTATTGCAGCTTTCATCACTGTCTAGTACTTGGACTACTTACTATGTTGTTTCAATTTCTCAGTCAGAAAGTGTTTGCTTTGACTGTTGGTTTCCTGGGATACCGCCAAAACTTTGAGGTACTTGGACTCGTACGAGCAGTACTTGAGGCCGGGCCTTGCAGAGGACAGAAAGCAGTGGATGAGTGCTCCCGTTTCTGACAGGTCCTTCCAGCAGGCTGTGCAGCTGCTAGAGACGTACACGCAATGCAAGGCCAGCTTCCAGGACCTTCGCTGGGCCTACACCAGCGTCCGGCGGAGCCGGGCAGCCGAGCAGCGCATCTTGCAGGAGGCCTGGGCCACGGCAGAGCCCACTTTGGGGCTCATTGCTGCCCAGATCTCCGACACCCAGCTGCTTGCAGAGCTCGCAACCAATGATGCACGCCAACTCCTGGACTCGCTGGTACGAGATAGCCAAGGTCATGAAAGTCAGTTGTGCCAAGGGAGTGAGGCCTTTCTCGATGCAGCACAGGAAGGGCTCGCTAACGGCTTCTTCGGGCAAACGGTGAAGCAGTTGGGAACGGCTTTTGTGGAGATGGCACACCTGCACCAAAGGCTCGGCAGATTTCGGCGGGATGCGTTGGAGGGGGTCGAAAGCTTCGAAAGGTGGTTCACTAATTGTGTCACACGATATGCGGAGTCAGCTTGCAGCACTACGCACTCTCGGTTCACACAACTAATTCCGTGGGACAGATCGTGTGCCGGAGGAGAAACAAACTCTTTGCGGAGACAGTTGCAACTGCCATTGTGGATTCAAGTTGCGGTAACACAAACCACCTCACACAACTACAGCAAACTTACGTGGTGCTGTCGCTGGTCAGCACGACTGCTGTCGTTGCAGGTGTGTTGCCGGTCGACAGAAGCTGCAGCCGAAAAACTCTTCCAAACGGTGACCCATAAACGGGTCCCAGAACGGACCCAGTGTCTTCAACAGAATCGGTCTCAATCTGGGGTCCCGTTTTGGGACCACGCAGTGGAACCCGAATGTGGATCCAAACTTGAAGCTTTTTTCACCAGCAACGATGATAAATGCAAGCACAGCAAAGCGCTGCGGAAACGCAAGCCACCCCTCACACAATTCAACATCATGCGGCTCTGTCACTAGTCGACGACTGCTCATGACTCTGCCTGTCGACAAACAAGGACTGGGAAAGACTTCCAAGCTGCAACCCGCTTATCGGATCAACCCTGGCCCGGGGGCGAGTGTGCATTCTTCTAGGGAAACAAACTCGGGCTGGGGCCGGGCTGGGGTGTGTTCTTTCTTGTCGAAAACTCTGGCCGGGCCGGGCATGGGAGTGTTTTTCCCTCGCGAAAACAATACGCACAAGCTTGGGTGGGGGGGGTGGGGCAGTCTTTCTAGGCGAAACAAACTCTGGCATGGGGGGGCGAGGCGAAGCAAACCCTGGCCCGGCTAGAGACAAACGCCGCACCCCCAGGCAAGGGTTTGTTTGGACTAAGAGAAACAAACTCCGTCCTTGTTGGTTGCTGGTGCCTTGGCGAGAACGCAACTCGCCAACCGGTAGATGCCATGACCGATGCGAAACAAGCTCTTGCTGCTTTTGGACGACGGCGCTACAAGCTCGGGCCTGGGCAGGAGGTTTTCCTCCTGCTGGTAGACTTGGGATTTGAAGGGTAGTTTTGCGCTTAAAAACCGGCCGAGAGACTCCACAGGCCGGAGTTTGTCTTGACCCTAGTAGAGACAAGAACAAACGTTTGCGGCAGGCGGAGTGTCGTGTTTCCTTCTAACTCCCCCCCAAACACAAATCTCGCCGGAAATGGTTCGTTTCTTGTCCAACAACTGCCCTAGCCGTTGTTCTTCACCACCAACACAAATTCTCCTGACCGCAGTCTTTCTTGCCGAAACCAAGATTTGCAACCGGAGCTTGACTGTTTCCTCCCTCCCCCTCTCCCAAAACCGACTGGCGTGATTCTAATGCTTAGCCCTCGAACTCTACAGCTGGAGGATGATTAGATCTTTAAACTTTGTGTGATTTGCTACCGATTCGCCTACATGTACACTTGTTCGCTTGTTAGGGTTCACGCCAACTTTGTTTCACTGCAGCTTGACTGCTCAAGACGCACTTTGAGTGACGTCCAGGAAAAGACCCGCTTGCGCTAAGGAGCGTAGGTGTTTCCTTTTGCCCTGTGCAGTTAACCTAACGGCTTGAAGCTCTGATCGATACTCTTGCATAGCCGCTTGCCTTGCTGCTTTGCCTTTTTTTGTGCTTTGGGGGTCAGCCGATAAGCGCCCTGCTTTGTGACCCGGTGTTAAGTGGAATCCGGTTATCAGCCTAGGCCCTCGTGCTTACTGGCTGGTCACCATTGCACTGCTGCTGCCTCCGCCATGCACCCGGTTCTCCGATCCAACTAGTGTTCGATCACCACTGATATCCTGGCAACACCCCGAGCCCCGTTCAGACCGGTGTGACGATACGTTACCGAGAAAGGATGATACCGATCGGCTCCCCTCGTGTCCCTTCAACCTGCGGTTCTTCACTAGTGACGCCGGTTGCTCGGAACGATGACTCTGATGCTGGTGCTCATGCAGCCTGCCTTGCCTCGCCTGCCACGCCTGCCTGCCACGCCGCCGCCGCGCCGCCGCATGCCAAACCCTGCTGCCGAGGTCGATCAGAGTGCCAGCGATTTCCCATGTGCCGCCTTTGCCATGTCCTGCTGCTGCTATCGATCGCATTTTGCCTGCATTGCCTTGCTCTTCTGCGACTGCTGCGAATGCTTCCGCTGCTGCTCCGCACAACTCTTTTTCCACGACCGACACATACCAGTCCCTCCGGGGGAATGTTGAGGGCGCCCGAGCCCTCTTCGGGCCTGGGCAAGACGCATGGGGACGTTCGATAACGGACCCATGCTATCCTCCTGCTGCCGCTTCCGCGGCTCATGGGAGCAGCACCGGTGCACCGATATTCGCACCGCGTGGCTGCGCCGGGGATATGCGCGCCCTCGATACGGGCGATGCTCCCCGTGAGCACATTTTCGATCCGGATGGCGGATTTCTCGATCCCGGAGCTTCCCGACGCATTGCCAACGATCTGGCACATGTGTCGCGCAGCGTCCAGGGAACACAGGCAGATCTTGAGATCTTGAGAGAGGGAATCGCCGATATTTCCATCTCCCTCGAAACCCGTTTCGAGTCCCCATCCTCGTCCGACGTTCCCATGTCAGATTTCCTACGATTCTCGCTCAGTGCCGAGTGGCGTTGGCCCATCAAGATGGTATGACGCCATGCTGGGACGATCGCATGTCGAATACCCCGCTAATCATCATGACACTGTCCTGAGCTCGACTCAGACGTTCACTATCGCCCCTCCTGCACCGATCACTGGCAGCTGCCAATTCTGACCTATGCACTTTTGCTCCCGTTCCTACTCGTGCTCCGCACTTCTCTGGAGGCGGTTCCGCTGGCCCTCCGAATGGCAGTGGCCCACCTGGTGGAAATGGTAATGGGAACGATCCTGTCGGCTCTGGTGCGTATGGTGGAGGTGACGGTGGCAGTCGTGGTCCGAGTCGCGCTCCTGGAGGCGGTCCGCCTGACAATAATGCCCCGTGGTGACGACGGCCCCCCTGGCGGTGGTCCGCCGGATGGAGGCCTCGATCCTCCATCAATGCGACCGTCCGGACGACCTGAGACGTTTCAGTGCGAAAGGTGTCAGGAGCGATTCTCCGTCGACCTTCGACGAAACTGTGTTGTGTGCAAGTACACATGCTGCAATACGTGCTGCCGAGATCCAATGCGGATTTGCATCGTTTGCATCGATCGCGCAAACGGAGGCGTTCCTGTTTCCGACGGGAACTCCTCGCAGCAGAAAGGCAGCTCGAGTGCCACTGATGACAAGAAGGCCAAGTGCAAGACGTTTCGTCTTGAACCCGAGCCCGATCCTGCACATCTTCGGCGTTGGATTGTTGACATGAAGGAGAAAGTTGCGAATGCGTTCGCATACGATCCAGTTTATGCTCTGCAATGGGTTGATTTTGTCGATGGGTCGCGATATGAGGACCTCATCGAGGAGTGCAAGTATGGTATGCTTGAGAACGAATGCAACGCTGCTTTCCGCGACTGCATCAAGTCCATTGCGCTGAAGAACAAGATTCAGACCGAAACGGAGCGTATGCACACTGTTGGCAGACGTCTTGGAAGCCGTCACATATTGTGGCTCCTTTATGATTTCTGGAGACCACATGTGACGGGTGATACGACTCTCAAGATCGTTGACCTTATGAACGTAAGCATTGATCGCTTCCGATATGGTGTTGAGCAGGAGAGGCTTGAAGCCTTCTGCGATAAGTTCGATCATGTTCTAGCCGGTATCTCTGTTGACCGGCCACCTGATCAGATGCTATGTGCTATGTTCTACGAGCAAGTTCGGGAAATGCGTTGTCTCGAACTCGATATGTCGCTCTGGGACAGAGATACGTCCGTGCGTAACTATGCCTATTTGAGGAGGATTTGCGCCAACGCGATATGAGTTTGTCGACGCCGACTCAATCAGGTAAAGATGTATTCCGCTGCTCGATCTTCGTCTGGCAGGAGACACAGCGCTGCTCCTGCGTCTGGCAACTACCGATCTGGATCCGGAAACCGGTGCTTCTCCAGAAGTCCCGGTCGCCGTGATTCGCGGAGAAGCAGTCCCAATCGGGGATCGTCTCCCAGGCGAGGATCGCCTAAGAGAGGGTCGCCGCGACGTGGCTCTCCGAGACGTAGATCCCACAGCCCCGGTCGGGCTGCTCCTGCGCCTACGCGTCGCTCACCTTCGCGATCTCTGCGAGGAAGCCAGATCCGTCTTGACTTCAAGCACTTTAAGTGCTCGAGAGGAAGCGGATGTAAGTTTTCTCACAATCTGAATGGACGGAGCACCTCGCCTCGTCCATTCCCTCCGCGATCAAAGTCACCTATCTCGAAAGAGTCAGGAATCTGTTTCTATTACGGGAGAGGTGCCTGCACCAGGGGGGACAAGTGTCCACACAAGCATACTAAGCCGAGCGCTCCTGCGGAGTCGATTCCCGCAGCAGCTCCTGCCCCTACTGAGGCTACTTCTGCGCACCGGGACGCCTCGGATTTTTAGAGGGGGCGTGCCGCTACCCTCAGGCAGCTCTCGCACCTCCGTGTGAGCACTTCTCAAACGCCTGCGTGGCATCGATCGATCTCGCATGTCCTGTTCGATACGCCAAGAAAGTATCATTTGGAGATACTGAGAAGCGCGTTGTCAAATCATCCTTTGGTGAAGAAGCCCGTTTTGAGCCTGTTACCCGCGAGCGGAATCTGAACTATTCGTGGCCGGAGGAAATCCGAGGCTTGAATAGTGCGCGGGAAAGGCGTAGGGCGCATATGAAGGCTGTGATGCGGTACGAACAGGTCAAACTTGATAATCTTGATGCGAAGATCTTAGGCAACGATGCTTGCGTACTCGAGCTTACGTTGTCCAAGACGAGTGCTGCTGAAGTGTTTGCTACTGCTGTGAACTCTGTCAAAAGGGTTCGGAGGCTTATGCTTGACTCCGGTTGCGGTATCGATCTGATTGGCTTAGGCGATTTGTCGCGCGATGAAAGAGACTTGGTTGTCCAGAACTCGAAGATCAGCCTACGTACCGCGAATGGGAAGACCAACACCAAGGGTCTTGCGCACATGCGCGTTAATGGGTTGAACGAGCTTATTTAAGCTTATGTGCTCGATAGCACGCCTAGTCTGCTGTCTCTTGGGAAACGGTGCCTGGAACTCGGATATCGATTCGTCTGGGAACCATTCTGCAAACCCGAATTCTTCGATCCCGATAAGAGAAAGATTCCGATCGAAGTGATTAATATCATACCGTATTTGACTCCTGTTGAGACTGAGGTTGTCGCGGGTCGATCTGATCTCCCGCGAGTGTACCCCGCTTTGCCAGCACCCATCATCCTGCATGAGAATGTGGTTGCTGCTGGTGAGGCTCCTCTTGAAGATGATGATTCATGGCTTGAAGAGCTGGAGAAAGAAGGCGAGAGGAAGAGAAGTGAGCCGATTGTCCCGACAGACGGGAACAAGGGCCACACGATAAATCGAAGCCTCGTGCCCCCAATCCTGACCATGAGCCCCGTGCTAGGGATCTCAAGCCTGAGGCACAGTCACTCAAGCATTTGATGACACATCTGCCCAAGAAACGTTTTTGCGATATGCTTGCCAACGTGCCAAAATGGAGAACGTCAAATCGTTTCGCCAGGACTCACCTCGCGATAAAGGTTTCAAGTTTCAAGGAGTTTGGTGAGCATGTTACGATCGATACTATGGTGTTACATGGATTAGGAAACAGAGGTAACAACGTCGAGACGGACGCCATTGTCTTTTACGATTTGGCAACAGGATGGCTTGAGACTGTACCTGTCAAAAGCCGCAACAACGCGGAAACGCTCAGAGCATTTCACCAGGTCTTTGGTAAGATCAGTGATATCAACTCGATATCTGTTGATACTCAGCGATCATATGCTCCCCCGAACATTCGTGAAGTATATTGTGACAAGGCAAAGGAATTCATTTCCGTCTGCAAGAGACTGGGGATTCCTGCCGAGCACTCTACTCCGGGAATGCCTCGGACGAATGCGGTTGTTGAGAGCAAGGTGAAGCTCGTATTGCATGGAGGACGGGTTGCGCTGAGACAAGCTGGTCTGGAGGCCAAATTCTGGCCGTATGCCTGTAGGCATTTCTGTCTCGCTCGCGACATCGAGATGCGCGACGGATCCTCGGCATACCAAGCCAGGTTCGGAATCGACAAATTCGCTGGCCAAGTTTGGCCATTTGGGTGCCTTATCGATTTCTTTCCTACCCCAGCTCGCAAGAAAACCCGTCGGAACAATGCTGATGAGGTTGTGCTGGGAGATGGAGAGGAGTATGCTCTTCCTGCCGATCCTGTTGACGCTGGCGAACTTATTGATGTCGAGGTAACGTTCGATGATGATGGTTTCGCTGAATGGTTCGATGCAGGTGATGAGGACCACGACGGTGTCGATATAACTGTCGATGGGAAAGGAAAGCTCTCGTCTTACCAGCGTGCTGGGAAGTTTTCGCCTACCAGCAGACCTGGTATCCTTCTTGGATACCACTTTGAAATTGGTGGGAAATGGAATGGCGATTATCTTGTCGCTGATCTCGAAGATTTCAACCGAGACGCTGGTCGTGCCAGCGTTCACCAGGTGAAGCGAATCTATAGCTCTCCAAAAGAGCAATGGACCTTCCCGATGCTAGCGATCTACGATAAACGGTCGCGCACCTCATGTATTGACGATCCTGCGATGCAGGCTGTCACTTATGAGAAACCTGATCGCACTCGATTTTCCGATGAGTTTGATGAAACTGAACTCTTTGATTTCGATCAGGATCGCCAACTGTCCGATGAGGAACTAAGGAAGAAACGTGATGCCGAGTCGCATGCTGAGTCTTCTCATGGTGGTAATGTAGATTTCTGGGATTATGATCCCAAGACTCACAAATGGACGTATCACGTCATTGTTCCTCGAAAGGCTATGGTTCATCCCTCGAAGACACCAGGCGCTTTGGGTGTGCCGCCCAATCGAGAGAAGCTGTCATCCGTCCGAACTTCCCATGTGCAATATGCAGGGAAGTCTCCCGCTACGATAAGGGAAGAGATGTTCTCTTTCGAGAAGACTCGATTGATGCAGTTGAGTCAGTTCTATGACGAGGGATTCACACCCAAGAAGATGCGAGTTGTGAGGTATCAGGGATCAGATGTTTATTGGTTACCACCAGGATGCGCCTCGTGTTGAGCGTCGATATAAAGGGACGAAGAAGCCGAACTCGATCGATTCGGATTCCTGGCGCAGTATGAATCGCGCAGAACGTGAAGGCTATGTAGAGGCTGAACGTCAAGAATCAGAATTGCAGGCCATGGGCCGCAATGATTCTCGTGATGCTGCACCTGTCGATATAGACTACGATTCGTCATACGAGTCATCGACAGAACGTCATGATAAAGATTACTGGATGCACGATGTCAAGGCTGGTACTGTGACCCGCTTTCATTTCGTTAACAGGCGGGCTCGCTTTGATGATCCGTCAACACTGTCCGATGCTCGAATCACTATGGCCATGAGCGATGGCACCGAGTTCACTGTTCAGGATTCCTGGCGCGCTGCCGATCCTCGACCGCTGCCTTGTCGATGGACCGGCAAGACCGTGTTCGTTACTGGTCGCCAACCGAAGGCGATGGTTAAGGTGAAGACTGTTGTCACAGGCATAACGATCGAGAAGCGAACTGCCTGCGCTGCAAGTGGATTCCTCGGTCATGCGCTGATCTCCTCAGCAGCTGTCCAAGTACCGGCTCGTTCCCCCACTAGAGTACAAAAACCAGTGTTCAGTTCACGCCTCCATGTGGTGTTACAGCACGAGTGCAACCTCTCAAGGGCACTGCTCTTGATGTGTGCCCCGCTATGTATCGTTTCAATGAGAGTTCCACCCTTGCCGATGTTGAAGTGTATAATCCGACCGATCACGACATCAACATCCCCAGATGTTCCGAGGTAGCCGTTGCTCAGTTCTATACCTCAGCCGTTACGGATGTGGATTTGAGCTCGAGATGAAGGAATCCCCTTGCTTAGCCTCTGCTCCTGCTGCGCCCGTGCCAGACACACCGCAACCTGAGGAGCACCCTTCTATGCCCAATCGAAGCGCGCCTTATGATCATCGCGCGTCCGATTCATCAGTGTTTTTCTACAGCGCGTGTGTGGCACGGCCGGTTGACCGGAAGGAGCGAGCGTCCAATCCCAAAGCCAAGGCCGCTCTTGATAAGGAATGGAACAAGCTTATCACCCAGGGATGTTGGGATTATAAGTCTGTGCGTGAATGGCGAGATGTGTCCAATGAAGCCATATCGCACGGTGAGACTGCTCACGTCGGACGCATTTTCGATATATGCGTTGAAAAGAACTCTGAATTACCAGAGTCCGATCCAAGTCGCAAGTTTAAGGGGCGTGTGGTGTTCGAAGGATGTCACGTCAAGGATGAAGGGAACAATTGGGCTATTTTCTCCGAGATCACCTCTTGCCCGGCAACAATGGAAGCTGGAAAGGCTGCCGATGCGTTCGGCCTGCTTCCAGGTCATGAGATTCAGGTTGCCGATGGTGAATCCGCGTATACCCAGGCCAAGCTCGGCGGTCCGCCTACATGGGTTCGATTGCCTAAGGATCGATGGCCGCCTGAATGGGTCGGCAAGTATCACGATCCCGTAGTGAGGCTTGTCTTGGCGTTGTATGGCCACCCTGATGCAGGAGGGTTCTGGGAACAGCACTGTGAGAAGGCATTGCGGTCTGTTGGCTTCGAGCAGTGCCCGGACTGGAAAAGTGTGTTCCGTCATCCTAAGCTGAATTTGATGCTTGTCGTGTATGTCGACGACTTCAAGCTAAGTGGGCCTACGGAGAATCTGGCCAAGGGCTGGAGTCTCATGGCTTCTAAGATCAAGCTTGAACCACCGTCTGCTATCAAACGATATTTGGGGTGTGAGCACGTGTTGTTCTCTTGTGATGTCTCTGGTCCATTCGATCCTCGTACGTCCTGGACCAAACACGAAGAGCCTAAGAAGCCATTCCCCGAGCTGACGTTTGGTGAAAATGCGATCACTGTCCCGCAGGGCTCCACAGGCTCCCGCAAGATTCGTATGATCAAATATGATATGCGATCCTTCATGGAACAATGTGTCGCTCGATATGTTGAGTTGTGTGGTCCTCGATATAAGGCCACCTTGCGGAGGGCGGATACGCCTTTCCTGGACGAGTCGCGTCCTGAGTTCGATGTCAACCCCGATAGTCCTGAGGTAAATCGTTTGATGGGCCATCCCAACGATTCGCCGGCCCCTCCGGGGAAGGGTGTTCTAGGGGACCGCTGCAGCTGTGTTAATGAAAATCCTATACGGGGCACGAATGGGTTACGATCTGATCCGTCCCGTCCAGGCTCTCGCCAGTCTCACTACCAAGTGGGATGGGCTTTGCGATAAGAAGCTGCATCGTCTGGTGTGTTACATCAACTCGACGCTCGATCTCAACCTTTATGGGTGGATTGGTGACTCGCCCGAAGATCTTGAATTGGTGCTTTATTGCGATCCCGATCTGGCTGGTGATCGAACTGACTCTAAGAGCACTTCGGGTGTGTTCATGTGTCTTCTTGGACCTCGCAGTTTTATGCCTCTCAACGCCCTGTCCAAGAAACAGACCTCGGTTTCGAAATCTACGCCAGAGGCTGAAATTGTGTCGCTCGATCATGCTGTGTATAAGCTCGGCCTCCCCGCTTTGTCCATGTGGGAGTACATGATGGGTCGGCGTTTTCGCCTTCGTGTCATGGAAGATCATGAGGCCGCCATACGTGTTGTGATTACGGGTCATAATCCTAACATGCGTCACATGTCTCGTACTCAGCGTATCGATATTTCAGCAATGAATGAGCGCTTTCATCATGGCGATTTCCTGTTCGTTACGTGTCCCTCACAGTTCGAGGCCGGTGATATTCTCACTAAGGCATGCACTGATGCCAAGGTCTGGGCTCGTAACCTCATGTCCATAGGTCATTTTCGCAAGGGAACCCTTGTCTCCTCTGGCATGCTATCTGCTGCACCTGTGCTGCATGCCTGCCCTGCTGCCCCTCCAACCAGGGGGGTACTTGAAACATGCGACACTCCCTACAATGCATTCATGAAAGTGCTTGTCGATCAGGGGGGAATTCAAATTGATGATCCACAAAAGATTTGCGATATCAACTGTTTGCACATTGGAAACGACAAGAAGTTTCACCTTCCTAGTGCCCGAAATATAATCTTACATTCGACCCTTCAGCTCGTAGGATTGGTATCTCGACCATTAGGGTCCGACCGTCGAAAACAGTGTGCGTTCTCGCAGTTCCTATAGGCGGATCGTCCCGATCCAATGTCGCAAGTCTCAAGAAAGAGGAGGGAAGAGTTTAAATTACATGGAAACGAGGCAAAAGAACACCTTGCTATCGCAGCTCGATCCGTTCTTTCTGGTGTATTCACGATCGTTGTCCTACCGAAAGGTAACCCACTGTGGGGTCGTGACTACGTCAGAAACTGGGCTGAGTCCTTTGATTTTGTGCCGGTTCGATTGTGCGCCTGTGCTGGGTCATGCGATTCACATTCATGGATTGCTGAGATTTTCATGCATGCCCGTTTTGGGCCGGAGTATTTTATGTTTTTCTCATGCAACAAGACTAAGGTAAAGCATGTTGCCAGTCAGGTGCTTCCAAGTGCTATTGCGAAGGTCATTATGACTCTATGTTCTGATGCTGCGTTTGGCTCACAGTAAGCCGCGATGCCGCTTGCTTAAACAAAGACGCAGATGCCAAGTCACACGCACTCATGTGTTCCAGTGTCTTATAGACACCGCACTGCGCAACCGACAACAAGGAGACCATCACAGACCTTACGACCCGACACTCACCATAGCCCTCTGCGCTCCCTCCTAGAAGTCTAGGCTGGTTGTAGCTGCCACGGGCTGCGAACTCCTGCGCCGTGCCGCGTTGATCGGTTCCCCGTGATAGGCAGCTGCCTCGATAGGCAGCTGTCCTTGATCGGGTAGAGCCTTCCCGATACTTTCGCATGATAAGATGCGACCGGCAAAGAAAGATTCCAATAGGAATAAGAAGGAGCCTGCCGATACGGGCTCTGATGTTCCGATGGAGGACGTTGAGGGTGCCACGATGGCCAAGGGCAGATCCGATAAGTCTGTCAAGAAGAAGGAGCATCAGCACCCTGAAATGGTTATTTTCAATACCTTCAAACGATGCAATCTCGATGACGCTCCCCGAAACCACGTGGCCAAGTCCATGGTGGAAGTCGATCGCACCGAGAAGCTGAAGCCGATCCTTACCAGGGCGGTGATCAGCCTGATGAAAATCCTGCACCCCGCGTTTATGGGGGGCAAGACACCTCCCAATCCTGTGACCGATATCATAGAGAGGTGCCAGGTGCTAGTAGCTGCGACTTTCGCCCGAACTGTCGTTCTATGTGCCCAGTCGAAGTCGCGCGAGGTCTCGATAGGTCTTGCCACTTCCATGCTTCGTCATTGCATGGCTTTTGAGGCTAAGACGCTGGCGCCTAACAGCAACAGGACTCGGATCGATATCCAAGTCATGGACCGCCTCGGGCCGCGTATGTTTCCATCCCCGCTTGCGTCATGGGGATCCCAGTTGTATGGGGCATCCTCCGCCACGGCAACCGATAGGTGGCTTCAAACGGATGTTTCGATAGGTTCCAACTTCCACCGAGGCAAGTTGCCCCAATCGGAGAACAGCAAGGCAGACGTCGATCAGAGAGTAGGCTTGGACATCTTCCGATGCTTCTTGCAGCTTCGACCTACACTTACCTTCTTGCCGGGTGGATTGTTGGCTGAGAAGGCTGAGTCTCGATTTCCGACTCTGCAGTCACTCACCGAACAGTCCGACCGACTATCCAAATGCAGAGCGGAGGTGGATGGGAATCTTCCCAAAGCCGATATCAATGGAATTCCAGAGGTTGCTGGCATGAACTGGGAAGTATCGCGCGATAGCGATGAGGAGTTGACGGGATGGCCAGCCTACTTGAGGCGCATGGCCGATGCCTTTCCTGACTACTGCGTCACTATTGATGATTGCTTGGATTGGGGAGCTGCGACCATCATGGCATATTCCGACGGCACGGGAAAGACTACGATCGGTCCCAACGATATGTGGACCTACGTGCCGCTCGCAGGCAGTAATGTCACAAATCCCGAAGATACGTTACTGCACGGCACCTCGCTTCGACACTTATGGTCTATTTTGGCACACGGAGGACTGCTTGGGGCCGAGTACGAAATTGATGACGGCTCTCTTAAGCCCTGCGTGTGGCTGTCCCACTCCGCCTCGGAGATTCGATCCTACGCACCATCATGCTATATTGGTGATGGATACTGGTTCCAGATTATGGCATGCGTTGACAAGAGCCTCGTTCCCGAGGGCGATCCTAATGTCTCTCGGGGAAAAGGGGGGTCGAAGAAACAGATCCGAGTTGCAACGTCTATGCTCGAGATATGTGGAATTGCGGTTCGGCCGCATCGAATCAGTGAGTACTTCACTTCGCAGAAGCAGTCCGAGACAAATCCGAAGCATCTCGTACATGGGTATCGATTTCTCGATCCAAAGGACTGTATGTCGACATCATGGCATCCTTGGATGGAGGTTAACCCAATCGATCCGCCCATAATTCTTGCCACTGGCCATATGACGGGATCTGTCTCGGTTGAATTCGCTCCATTCGCGATGACTGGAACTGGAGATGACGCGCACCCGGGAGGAACCGATACTCCTTCCGCGGGTGCTCAACTGGCAACGCCGCAACAGTCAGACGCCATGTCTGATGGCGGACACACCCCAGTCGATCTGTTTCAAGTGTCTGATATGGATGCCTGCACACGGGCTACCACAAGATGGGACTTCTCCGGTCAACCGAATCCCACGCTGACCGACAGGTCTCCGCATTCCGATCCATGGTTTTTCCATATTTTCAGAAGCAGGTGCCGCAGTTTGGAGAGGGCGATCACTTCCAGCTTCCGGCGCCGGCCAAGGCCACTCGCGCTGTCAGTGGGCTTCAAGAAAAGTGGAATACATGGTGCAAGGCGTACGAAAAGATGTTTCGTATCGTCTTCGGTCCGATAGCTATTATGCCCGGGCGATATGATTCCATCTACTACGACGACTCCGATACCGCCGCCGTCGTAAACCGAGGTCAGTGGACTCCCGCAGACGCGATGATCGCGGTAAGCGTTCATGGCGGATTGACCGTTGCCCTGATGGGCGCGACGATTGCGCACTCAGCTATGCCGCCAGCGTTCCCGATTATGGTGATGCGTCCAACCAGGACAAAGCTGATCATTATTCACGATGGAGTCATCACCTTTAAGAAGAAACAGACTACCGCCAGCAGCAAGTTCCATGATGGCGAGCTTCCACGATATGTGAAGGAGGCCGCAGCTCAGATGGGGCTAGGGGACATCGATGTCCGGTTGCTAGTCCCGGAAATGCCAGGTGATGAGATTCCAGGAATCAGTAACCTGCTTACATTGGCCAAGCTGCTGAACGCGGACCCAGAGAACGATATTCCGAACTGCCACCTCATCGTAGTATGGCGCGGTCTCATCCCTGGAACGCAATCAAAGGAATCGCTGGAGACGAGGCATTTCGATACGCTAATCAGGATGCTCGTGACGATCTAGAAAAGCTCAAACTCAGCTTCCGCACTGTCAGTCTATGCGGACCCATGTCGCCGGGTTTTATGGGCATCCCGAGCGCACCTAACGGAATAAGCTCCGTGATATCTGGAGTCGCCTTAGCAGTGCGAGCTTCCTGACAGTTTCTTTAGACTGCCTGCTCGAGGGGCTGCCCCTGGACTTCTTTGTCCGAAGATAAGGGCGTCATGGCGGCCCTCTGCAATCGATTTTGTGCCATGATCGCCCTGTCGGAGTTGACGAGTTTCTCTAAGCCGGAAGGCAACTTCCCGGAAGAGAAGTTGATCAGGCTCATGATTAACCGCACTCTTAAGCCTTCCGATCGTACAAGCAGCCCTGATCTATCAACGCTGCCGGACTCAACGAGTCAACCCGATAAGAAACCTTCTGAATCGAAGTGCGCGGAGCAGGCTGACTTTGCAGCACTTGGTCTTGGTGATTGTGAAGATGAAGACGAAAGTCAGGCTCCCGATAACAGAGTAAAGGGAGAGCAGCCCGCATCGCCGCCTGCACCACCGCCTGCGTCGCGTCCATCATTTTCGCCAGATCAATCTGCGAAGCCTGAGCACGTCGACGGTGAAGAAGATGATGCTCCTCCCAACGCCGATGTGGAGATGAAGGAGGAAGGTGCTGGCAGAAACGATAGGAAAGGCTCCGATAAGGAAAGGGACGATAACGTCAAAACTTTGGCTGCCATTAATGCTATGGCCAGCGCCAGCATTTCGACACAGTCTCGTCAACCGATTCAATCGATAACTAGCGCCAACAGAGCCAACCCTGCTCGGTCTTCATTATAGCCTGCTGTCGGATCGCTTCCGCCGATGCAGGAAACGCGAGAGAGCGATTACGGGGCGGTGGAAGGGGAAACCTCTAGGCCCCCGACTGCAGAGGCTGGTGCGGGATCGGCACACAGGCCGACTTATCTTGATCCGAAAGAGGTAAGAAAAGTCCACGCCGAACAGATGAGAGCTCATGTTCAAGAGCTCGCGGAAAGCAACGATGATGCGCAGGCCGTTCGCGATGTTGCCGATGGTTTCGCTAATCTGCTCGATCCGCACATCACTACCGATAACGTTCGGCCAGCTCCATTCTTCCCATTAGGTGATATGACATATGATGCGGTCGAGGAGAGATTGGTCGAAGGACGAAGAAAGGCCGATGCTAACAGTTTATTGATGAGGGAAATGCAGGCCGGACTACTCTCTCCCTGTCTCATGGAGCGCCGGACCGGGAATGCGGTATCAGCTCTGGACGCACGATGGGTGCCGGAGTACGGGAACAGGGGGGGGATCGAAGCAAAGCTGGGTGGTGTTATCACTTCTCTTGATGCTGCGATCGCTGGTCTAGCACACCTTCCCGTGTTTCATCCGCGCGTACCTACGGCGTACGCTACGGCTCGATCTCTATACTTCTTTGCGAAATCGCTGCAGACCTGTGTTCGACATAGGGGAATCGGCGCGGTACCATTCAACGGTATCGTCTTTCGAGAGGAAGACCTTGTGCCCCCTACGCGGGAGGAATGGCCCGATATGTTGGCCCAGACACCTAGAGCTGTCATCCAATCGATGAGATTGGCGATGGTTTCTAACATATCGCTCCGCGCTGGAGTGCGTGACGACCAAAAGATGCCGGAAGGCTTTGAGGTCGACCGCCGTCTTCCTGCGCTACGACAGAAGACCGATCCGCCTTTTGTCGATCTTTTAGCGAACGAGATGTCTCTTCCGTCGATAGAGCGAACTGGCGACGATCGTCTGGAGAAGGTCGAGCAAGCTATCGATATCAAGCTCAAGGCCGTTGTCAAGCGATTTGAGGGAGCTATGAAGGGCCAATTCAGTGATGAAGTGGCTGCATCCGGCAATGCCGCTCAGCCGCCTGCCGCCAGAGCTGAGGTGCCCGTACAGCAAAGTGCGGAAGCGAAGGCGAGCACCATACCGGTCGCTAAGGCGAAAGCGGCTGCTGAGGCCCCACAACGCGACGATATGGATGTTGATGATGCGTCCCAACAGGGCGAGCGCGCTGAGGCCAGCTCCGCGGCTGCCGCAGCGCCGGGAGCACCTCAGGGCGACGATACGCCCACTCGTTCTCGATATGCAAGTCCGCTCTCGAACACTCCGTTCCCAACCGTCGATACACAGACCGGAGAAGACACGGAGATGGGGGCGGAAAGCGAGGACGATGTTGCTTCTACAGCCGCGCCTGCAATTAGTGGCAAAGGCATTGTTGAGCCTACCACGATTTATCGATCAGATATGATGCCTGATGTGCCTGATGGTATCTCGATTGCTCCTACGATCGAGTACACGGTTGCCTCTGTACCTGTGCGTCTGCCCGATATGCGCGTACCCGCATATTTTTTTACAACCAAAGCTGAAGATGACTCTCTTTATGGGAGGATTCTTGAAAAGACTATCATGCCTCCGAGCGATAAGCAGCGCCAATACTCGCGTAAGATGCATGAGCTGTTCAGCATTCGACAGAACAGTATTATCTGTAAATCTCTCGATAAGGTTCTCGGCAAGAAAAATGGCCATTCTTTCTTGAGACCAGAGACGTACCACGAAAGCAAGAATGTCAACGATGGAGTGCTGAGCTTCACATCCAATGAGCGGCGCTACCGATCGATCGGTGGAGAGTCGGTTGCGTGTTCCAAGCTTACGAACGATCAGTCGACCCGGATGCCCGATATGAAGATTCCCGATCAAGCGATGGTCAACTTGATCCAAAGGTTGATGTTCAGAGCATGCACTCAGGCCCGGGAGTACCCACAAGGAGATAACGCTAAGGACCAGGACTCCTCGTCGGGCGTGCCTGTGTACTCCTACTACGATCCCAGTGGGATCATCCGATTCAATCCTACTCTTCTCGAGACCATGGAGAGAGAAAGGGTATACACGCTGGCCAATACGGGCCGCGGAAATGGCCTACTCCAGATGCATTTGTTCGATACAAGTGGTACTGTCTCGATAGTCTATCGTCGATAGTGGTGATGAACTGCATTAAGGAGATTGCGAAGCGTGACCATGGCCAACGATTCGAATTCTTCTACTCCAAGATTGCCGAAGACGGTACCCCTACTTTCGTTGGAGTACGTGCGGTATTTGGGTTCGGTCCCGATGGATTCAGCCGTTTCCGGAAATTTGTTTCCTCCAATCATGGTCCCTTTACTTACTCCGCTCGCCAGAGAAGCGAACGATCGAAGTACGATTCCGGTAATTTGTGATGCTCACCACCCCCAGTATGGATGGGGCTATGTCACGATTCGAGAGTTCATGTCATTCATGTATGATGGCAAGATCATTCCTCCCACAGGAAGCCTATTCACGATGCTATTGCCGTACCCGCCTGGTTCCGGGCAGAATGGGGCTCTTGAGGAAGTCTTTATGAAGACGCGATCCAAACCAGGGCGAGAAACGGTTAGCCCAAATGCCACCAATGCCGAGATTCTATTGCCGACAGGAATCGCAACCAACCGAATGGTGACATTCGCGGTGGATTTTCACATGATGGCTATGGGGCACAACCCGATATATTTCCACCATGCTGGATACTACGCCATGAAGGACGTGGTTCCGCTTGCATGTATGCCGGTGGCATACTATTCCGATACTGGATCGCTCCTATTCAACACTCCGTTCAAATATGTCGGAGGCCCAAAGACTGGCACTGGCCCGAAGGATAAGGGGCCCGATAGCCGCCCTGAATGGAGGCTTACCTCCTTCCCATTTTTTTGATCTCATTCACGCTTCTCACATCCTTTACTCTCACTGCTTGAAACTTCTCTGGTCTCTCTTCAACTTCAGTTGTCCCTTCATCTATTCTTTGTCTCACCGCTTCAGGTTCATCAACTTGTTCTTCCAAACTTCTCTTCGTCGGTGATGGTGGTGGTGCATCACCAGGAATCATCTCTTCTGAAGATGAGCTTCTATCACTTCGCCTTCTCGTTCTTCCTCTATGGCCTTCGCCTGGATCTTCACTATCATCGTTGTCATCGTTTCCTCTGCTCTCTGAGCTTGAAGGATCAGTTGCTGCTTCATCTGGTCCCGGGCCTTCGCTCGGAACATAATCTTCTTCTCCATCATTTCTCCCTTGCGGTGGCTTTGGCAGTGGTCTTCCATCTGCAATTGCTTCCAATCCACTTGTAGGTGGCAATCTTTTATTCTTCTTTGTCCTTGCCATCAAATGTTCTTGATTGTGGTCCCAAGGTGTTCCACACACTTGGGGCATTGTTTCAGCGTCAAAACGTTGGTGTACACTGCCGCATTGTTCGGCACTTGATATTTCCTTGTCTCGTGCTCACCAAGTTCATGTTGCTCACCATATCCTTTCCTACAAAGATTCCTTTTCTCCACGCTTCTCGTTTCTCTTTCACTTTCGGCAGTTGCTTTGCCAATACAACACTTCCCCATGGTGCTAGTGTTCCTCTGTACTCTCTGTCGAGCACAATTTCAAATGGTGTTTTTCCTTTCTGAACCACAAATCTATTCAGCAAAAATCCTGCGTGTCTTGCAGCCCACGGGTACAGCGTGCATTCAGATGTCACCTTTAGCTTCGCTTCTGTTTCAGCGTGGTACACTAATGTCTTGGACAGGTTCCTGACCGTTTGAACCCATCTCTCAACTTGCAATCCTTCATGTGCATCCGGGGGGGCATCCTGTATCTCTGTTTCCAAGTTCTTGAGTTTCCGGATTCCTTGCACCTTCTTCCTCAAAGATATCATAGCTGGTTCAGTGTCAGTTCTCAGAATCACCTTTGAGTTCAGCAACATGAGTACTCGACAAACTTCTTCAACCAAATAAGCTGTAGCATCTTTTGTCGGCACTGGTATCACGTGGACAAACTTTGTCTCCTGATCAACCATAACCAAGCTTATGGCTAAGGTGTCTTTCGGGTCCTTTGGATTCTCTTCATCTCTTGTTCCTGTAAACTTGAAGTCCATACTCACCAATGATGCTTCATGCTTTTTCTCAGATACCTCGAAGTTGTCTTCT